CAGGAGTCGAAAATAACTTACAGATTTATTGTGTCCACCTTAAGATAAAAAATGAAAATTCGAACGTCAAGTAAATTAAATTTGAGAGCCAAGTACTAGAGGTACCTGCTTTTAATTCTGTGATTGTTAATCTTACGTCAGTTGATAAGGATCAACCATTATCAACCTAACAAGTAAAAAACACAGTTTTCTGTAGGAATTAGGAATACAATATTATTCCAAACGACCAAACTATTTTATTGAAATTGTCTTCGAAATGACATGTACTACTTATACAATACTATTACACCGTTTAATAACACTGTAACATTTCGCCACATCTTTTCTTAAAATTCAAAATTAAATGAGATAAAACTTCCGTATAAGTTTTTACAAGCGGCTTTAGTTTTCAAAAGTGACTTCAGTTCTCAGAAATGGCTTAAGGTAGTCCAATTTTAGAAAGCCTACATGAAAAATCGAGGGAAAGATAGTTTAAACAATTCTTAGAATTCCGTACCTCAAAACCAAAAAAAGGGGCGTCTATTTATCTAGACCGAGTGTCGGCATCAGTTAATTGTATATTAACTCTAATAATTTCATAATTTGTTGCTGATTTGTTGCTATTTATTGGTACATCTGAGTCAAGCCGTAAGTAAATTATAAAGATCTTTCCTTGTCTTAATATATTTTTATTAATTTGCCAATGTATTGCAGCTGTATGACTAACTTTTTCTGATCGGATTATACACTTTACATTTGGAAAACTTTACGGTTCGTGTCGAGCGTTAATAAAGCATTAAACAATAACAAATTATGAGATGGTGGTTTATCCACTATTTCTCGAAAAACGGTAGGAGCAACAAAATCAATATTTTGGTGACAAATTGGTAACAAATTATGGTAATATTTATTTTGTAAGCACATAGTTTGGCTATGCTAAATTTATAAACATGGCAACAAATAGGTACTGTATCCAATGACCGTCACGAATGCCTTGAGAAGTGCCATTTGTACCACAATTGACACCTCATCCCTTTTCATTTGCCGCTTTATTCCATCCTTTGCAAAGAAGAAAACTGTCGCGTATAAAGGTGAATAACGAGCCCTTTGGTGGGATACGACGCGGTTTTAATGTGAATCCGCACTACTTGCGGTTCTTCAGCTAATGTTCTGTGGGTTTTAAAGTTCACGAGTTTCTATCCTGCGTCACGTTGGCTTCGTGTAAATTGTTGTTTCAAAGGGCGACTGTTTATTTTCAGAAATGTAGGCGTAGATATTTCTTTTGACGCGGAAATTTGCTTTGAAAAATCGATAAACGTAGAAATAAACGCGGGTAATTACCATATTATACGTAGGTGTACACTATATAGAAAGGTGAACATAAAGTTCACGGTTAATCATTTTGTATACTAAGTGAAAATACGATTGAAGAAAAAACTACTTTTGAAAAGTATTTGTACGTAATATATGTAGGTATAGTATGTAACTCATGCAATGTATTTTGAATGTGCCGCCATTTTGAATAAACAAAACTTTATTTTTCTATCGTATTTCAAATCGTAAAGATTCACTTGAATCGAGAATTGTAGCGACCTCTTTTGACTATTGTAGCGTAACATTTCTGCCGTCTCTCCAGCATTACATAATATCGCTTAAAACTAGACTGGATTGCTAGTTTTTTATTCAATTTATTATTGAGTTTAAATTAATTACAGTAGTACCTATATTTAGTTCTTAAATTGATTGAGGAACTCTTGAACTATTGGACCCGGAGAGTTACGAACCTTTGAAGAAAGAGTCAAGCAAGCGAGATTACGAGTTGTTAACCGACTCATCAAGTCATCATCCCTACCTAAAGACGTCCAAAAGAGTATTCTAAGGATGGACGCCGCTCCATAGAGGCTGTATGAATTATCCAAGATCCACAAGGCTAATGTTTGAGACTGATAGTAAGATATTACTTGGAACGAAACACATGGCATCGCTGCTCCAGTCTCATGTACGAATGAGTACCAGTTACATCAAGGATTCCGCTAACTTCGTACGCAAGATCCGAGACATCAAGATTGACGTCTCGCAATTCACCAAGATACCGCTGAAAGGGTGCCTTGACTTGGAGATTAACATCTTCCCCAGCTACATCTGTAAAATCACTGAAGTTTGCCTCACTGGAAGCTATTTCGTGTGGCGTGGAAGCTTCCACGAGCAGCTAAAGGAAGTAACAATGGTAAGCCCGCTAACTGCTTGGTTCCGATACGTGAATGACACCTTCCTAATTTCAGGACACGGAATAGAAAAGTTAAACCACTTCCTCCAATACTTAAACACACAACACCCCAGAATTCAATTCACCATGACATAAACACAACATGCACAGGAGCAGTCACCACGGCTGAAGAGGACCTTAAGTGGTCCTATAACGGCCTGAGGTAGAGGGGTTTTAGTCGGTAGGTCCGTGGACTTTTTCCTTGCGAATCCGACACTACCCAGTCATACGGACGGCTGGGTGTCATTTGAATATTTCCCCTCTTCCACGAAAACATAAAAAAAAGGAGTCACCAGTCTACATCCAGTATTGGATATGGAAAGACCTCTGAAGAATCTCACCGCTCGTGCTAGCCAAACACTAGGAAGCAACTCCAACCGACGAGGGCGTTTAGACCCGAATCAGAATAGCATCCGTTCATCAATGAGCTTCTTTATCTAGCATGCCGTATCATTCCTTGTGTTTTGATTTGGTAAAATCCAGCAATCGTGACTTTGTCAAATTACAAAATATAATTCTTGGAAGATGTCAAAATTTTCGTTAATTTTTTGCGCTATTTTGCTGGTTTCAATTGTTAACCATGCAAGACCAATTCAAAAACCTCCAGCCGATAGCGAGGAGTTTTCTGATATGACGATTATCGAAACTGAAGATCCTCAACAAGATGAAACTCCTTTAGTTAATGAAGCACCCCCTATCAAAGACACGATCGCTTTGGAAGTGCCCAATATTATACAACCCAAAGCTGACAGTAATATCATCAATATTGAAACCAAAGTCGCAGAAATAACAACAAACTAAATGTAAAACCTGCAGAACACTGAAAATTATATAAAATTATATTATCTATTATACATTCTGTAAGCATACAGGTATTATATGTACGTATCTTATTGAATTTCTTTTAATTCAAGTTCTCTATTTATGATCTTATTATTAATAAACAACAAGATCATGGACTATTGTCCGAGAACATCAAAATAAAACGTGCTGTACGTTAATTATAAGTCATAAGCGTATACAACACCCATGGGGAAAAATCGGACACTTTAAAGAGCATTTCCCCATCAAGTGCAATACAACACACTAGTAGAATCCGTATTGAAATCGGTAGAAAGAAAATCAAATCCTATTTCAGAAATTTCAGTCCGCAATCTTCAGAATGTTTAAATTAAAATGGACACTTACGAAAAAGAAGAATCAAAGATTGAAAACTCATCTCCGAAATATACGCAAATATACAATAGATTTAAAACGTACAATGCCAAAATGGCTTTCAAAAAAAAAATAATACTATTTTAACAAATTTATTTGGTTCGATTGTCAGGAACCTTTACTACACTTGAATTATTATAACTATTACACACCAAAGATGGCAAATGAACAGAATGACATATGTAGGTTTGACTTATAAAGTAGAATGCTAATGAAATGAACAAAAATACGAGCTTATACAATAAAAGACGTCATGGCCGGTGGCTTGATCCATGGATAGGGACAAAGACACCGGATGTAACTGTAGGGAAAAGCAAAATAACGGAATCATTCTCATGTTTATGAAGTATCTAAATGTACTTATGTAGAACCTATTATATTTATAAAAAAACGCAAAGAATTGCTTTTTATTTACTTCAATTTGAATTATGTCATTGTTAACGTTAAACTTGCTTTTAATGCTCACTATGTATGGACTCCTAACTTTAAATTCAAACGCTATTCAATTTCAAATAAAAGGAGCTGAAGAAGACACTTCCACCCTCTCGATTTTACCCCAGAGAAAATTGAAAAATAAAGATAAGTTTGGGTCCCAAAGTCCGATTGATAAGGCAGATCGAGAGGGAAACTTTGTACAAGTTACAAGCACAAGGGATACCGATTTCAATAATGATGTAAGACGTGTGATATTTTATGCTTACTTTCGTTTAGACATTTTTCAGTAAATGGTGTATTGTAATCTTCTTTTTTTTTTTCGACAATGTCACATTTTATTATTTCGTCAAATATAAACTTTACAACATGAGACTTGATCATCCAAAATTTACACTTCTTGCAATGACACAATTTTGAAATATGATTCTAAATTCTATAAATTCCCTTACACTTCTACTAATTTACTAATTTCCCAGAATTTCAATTTATTTCAACAATCACTCAGCTCTACTTTATATGTTCTATTATTTTGTATCGACAATAAAAAATTATTTTGAGTTTCTACAGCCATATGGAAATGATGTTTATCCCGACTCTCCCAAATTAAATTTATTCACGGATATTCAGCGATCGAAAGGAAATGAAAATATTGATGAAAATGACTTATGTTGTAATGGTGAAGAAAGTGATTTTTATTTTGCTGAAAAGATTCTTGCCAGCTAAGCATCTAGTTTTTAGATTACGAATTCGAAGCGAATGATGTAAAAAGCAAAACATCAAGAAATTCTCTCGTTCACCCTAATAAAGAGCTAAAAATATGGAGCCACTGGGGTAAATGGAGTGAATGCTCCGTAAGTTGTGGAATTGGTAAAATTACAAGATGGCGTTATTGTGTGAAGGGGGCTTGTGCAGAAGGAGAAAAGGAAGCTCAAATCAAAACATGTACAATGTCTCAATGCTAATAACGTTTTCGTAAACAGGCTACTTTAATAAAGAAAATCACATTGGAATCGTTTTTCTTCAAGTGAACGAATGTTAGCAGTTAAATTGAATAGTTACTGATATAGAGTAGACAAATGAACTACTGAACGCATCCAAAATAACGCGCTGCGCTATGACAACTACATACATAACCTCAAAAATTAATAGTACACAAACTAAAAGTATAACAAAAATAAAGTTAAAAAAGTGCCTTAAAGTTTACAAAATACGAAATGAGTGCATCCCAACGACACCCCAATCAAAATGAAATTGATAAATGTTTGCAAGGTAATTTTTTTTATTATTCGAAATGGAATGTTTTATGCATGAATTCCTTACAAAAAAGTAGTGTAAATTACTAAATTATTATTGTAGTCATATGTTAACGTGTTGATACAATTGCATTGCAAATCTATGATGTTGGGGTAGATATCAAACATATTTCATGGGGTTGCCACCTGTCGAAGTTTGCCCCAGAGACTCCAGTTTTCGGGGGCGATGTCATCAGTCTCCAGGTTTCACGTTAATAATTTACAAATATAAACAAAAAAAAAACATGAAAAAACCCCTGTGTTATTCCATTTATTGTTATTTGGAATAGACTATCCCCCACCGGTTGGTAAAAATCTCTAAGGTCTAAGGTCAGAGTCCCTTCAGAAGTGTGGCAACCTTACACAGACACTCATAAAAACTCACATTAGTTCAAAAGAGAATCTACCTACGTATCAGATGGTTATATTTTTACAAAATAAGTATCATTGATCTTATAATAAAGAAATGAGTGCAGTTTTCTAAATTGAAGTAATAAGTTCTACCTATTTTCTATTTAAGAGCATTACAGTGAAATATTTGCACTTCCTACTGCTAAGGAAATAATATTAATTGACAAATATAAAGAGCCCCCTTTAAATAAAGAAACGAATAAGAGAAGAACACTTTGTCCCTATTCGCATGCTGGAAGAACAATTCTAAGACAGAATTCCGAAGAATGTGAAGAAAGTAATCATTATCAATCGGTATTTAATTTGAAACGAAAACCATCCAGAAAATGGCCTACTTTTTTACTACATCTTTTTCGAAAAAATAAAACACCAAAGCAAGAAAAGAAAAAAACTTATTGAAACTGATTAATTGAATTATAATAATCTGTACTTAACTACTACAATAAATATTCATTTTTGTATATTTTTAACTTGATGCTATAATATATATGGTTACTGGGGAATCCCCCTATTCAGTCCAGTTTTACACGGTTTCTAAACTACATACCTATTACTTCCTCTTACTCGGTTTTCGAATAAGTTATTATCATTATTAATTTAATAAATAATACATTAGTTATTCTGCGTATTTAATAATATTAACAAATATTTTATTTTAAGTGACGA